AAAAGAAGATCCCTGGTGAGAGGTTAGGATCTCTATTTAGGCCAGTTTCTACAATTAGGAAAAACGGGAAAGCTTTAAGGTCTAGAAAGCCCTTCTTTGAATCATGAGGCCTTACTGGTCTGAAAGTTTGCTTGTTATTTATTTTTATCTTATCAGTTGGCGTAGTGTGGGAGATTATCTTTCCCTGCAAACTTTTGCTGAGTTATATGTGTCGACCATCATTGTCATGACAGGAATGTGTCAGCAGACAGCACTGCCTGTTTTTTCTTGCTCAGTGATTTCTCAAATGAAATTGGATTTCATCTTGCTTTTTTTATGTCAACACACAGGTAGGGAAGAAGGTGCCGATATCAAACTGCTGCTGGACGTATTTCATTATGAACTACGTGAAAGCTGAAATGGCGTTGTGCAAAGTCTGTGTCAGGCAGCATCAGTTCAGAGCAGGAAACAGGCTAGCAGCAGTTCTGGGTTTCTCCTTTCCGTTGTGCTTTGTGTTGAAAAACAGTGCAGTGAGAGGGTAAACAAGGCGGAACAAAATAGAGAGCGCTAAAGTCGTGAAATTAGCCACATGGCCAGAAAACATTTCTCCAGATAAAAGTGAAATAAATTTTATCTCTTATCATGACAGTTCTTACCAAAACAACTGATGGATGTAATGCCTGGCAGTCTTCACAGAGTAGCTCAGGACTGATAAGGATTGCCAATTTTATGTTCTTGCTTCGAAGTCTTTTGTAACTCCACCTTTGTCACTATTCTTGAACGTGACCGACATCACCTTGAATTCCACTGGTTTCATAACTTCAATCCATACACGTCCTCAGCCTCTAACGCTTCTACTGCCCTTTGCAAAGGTGGAAAGCGCTCCTCTGCCTTTATTTGAGAAGCCACAAGTGCTTCATTATTTTCAGTTTCTCATTACCTCTGCCCACAAGAGGGAAAACATAACCCCCTTGCCCCTCTTAAGGTTTAGGATTTCCTGGAGCGTCCCTTTTTTTAATGTTCTTTTAGATTCCAATCCTGCAAAAATAGTGCTTGTGTGAAGGAGGTTATTAATATTAAAACTTAGGCTGTGTAGGATTCAGTCATTGAGTTGCAAGCATTTGGGGCAGGAGCTGCTGTGACTTTAGTGCACTGTATGGTGCTGTACATCTGATGGCGCTCTACAAACCAAAGCAACAAAACTGAATTTCCTCCTTCAAAGGCAGAAGCCCTTTTATGCTAATGCAGAGGAAAAAAAAAAAGAGTTAAAAAAATGAGTTTCTCATTACTAGAAATGCCTCCAATTTTAAATGCAGTTCTTCTTATGACAGAAGAGAAACAAAGGAGAAAAGGGAGGAAGAAAGAGAGAGAAATTCATTAGTCGGGACACAGAAGATTTACAGTAGTTCTCCATCCTGCTGAGACCAACGGAGGGGCGTTTGTTGGCTCAGTCAGGCACAGGGTGAAATTATCACTCAGCAGAGGCACCTCTGCAGCACACTGGAAGATTTTGTTAAAATGGCTTAATGAGAGTGCCTTGAAGACCTCCTGACTGGCTCCTTGTGGTCAAATCTGGAGCAGATTTAAGCCCTGCTTCAGCAAAGCATTTCAGCTGGCTGAGCATAAATTAATTGCTCCAGCAACTGGCTAAACTGATATCTTGGAACAGACCAGAAAGCTAAGACAGCTCCTCAGCTATCATCAGTCGTGTCTATGACACTGACTGATTTTTCTTTCAATTAGATAGCTCTGGCTTTGCTGGAGAGCCTCTAGAGGAATGGCATAAGGTCATAGATTATGTTTTTGTTTGCTTTGAGCCTGGTTTCAGTTCTAACGCTGCCTTCAATTTATACAACTTATTTTTCAAACTTAGGCCCTTTGACCCTCCTAAGCCTGAATTTTGAAGCTTCCTGTTCCCTAAGGCCAGCATTTGTGGGGCAGGGCAGGTTTGTGCATCACCTGCCTTGTCATGCATGGGCTAGACTAAGAGTGGTCCATTGTAGAGAACTTTGCCAGTGCTTGTGCAGCACTTTTCCCTTCCCTCGTGCTTCCATGCTGTTACCCAAGAACAGCTTAGATCTCTCAGACACACTAACATCATCTCCCATTTCATAAATTGCCAAGCAGGGGAAAAAAAAAAAAACTACCATGCCTGAAGTGTTTGAAATAAATTGTTAAGTGCCAGCAAGTAGCTGAAAATTAGCAGTTATGTGACTCTCTACTGACAGACAGGAGATCAGAAGCAACTGCTTCACTGCTCACCAAGAGAGGCTGGCAGCACTAATCAGGAGTTACAAATTATCTCAAAACCCAGTCAGTCACAGCTGACTTTTGCTTATCAGTGTCCCTGGTAATCTCATCCTGAAACTCTTCCTTTCCGCTCATGGAGGGCAAGTGTTTTTGCTAGTTTCCCGTCCCCTCTGCCATCCCAGCAGACTGCAGAGCCGCTGCTGTTTCAGCTCACCCGGCTGGATGTTCGCATATCGATGATGGGCAAGCAAGGAGGTACAAGGGTGCCAAACACCGGCTGCTTCCTAGAAGTAGCCTAGTGACGTTTATCAGGCCTGGGCCATTCTGTTAGCAATACTACCGTGGCTTTGTTTTGTGCTTCGGATTAGACCGTTTCTGACAGAAAATGCCAGGGAAAGTGAGCGGGTGGTGCAGTAAAGGTATACTGTTATTCCCTGCCTGTTGCAGTTTGATGACCCTGCTGAAGTATCTTCTAAGAAGGTATCTTTGTTTCCCTTCAGCTAACCCCTGTGAGCTCCACTGTCGCCCGATAGACGGCCATTTTTCAGAGAAGATGCTTGATGCGGTCACCGATGGTACTCCTTGCTTTGACGGAAGCCACAGCCGAGATATCTGTATTAATGGCATGTGTAAGGTATTGGGTATGTTTGCATGTTTCTTTCTCTACAATTTACTTCATAAATTTATAGGAAAATATTTAACACATGTCTTGGGAGGATCCTGCGATCCTCCGTGCAAAAGGGATGCCAGCAAAAGGCACTCCTAACTCCATTTTATGGTCTTTTTAATGATCACAGAACAAATTCACAGGAACAGCTTTTCTAAGCAAACATAAGAGCCCCCCTACGTTCTTTTTAATGAATCCATCAGCCTGAGTACTGATTATTTTGGTAGCGTCAAACTCCTCTTTCTTCTTCCTTTATTTTAAAACATGAAGTTCAGAAAATCTGTTTATTTCTGCTGAGTGTTTTCACCAAAGGTTATAGCTTTGGGTGTTACCACTCTGATTTTACATGTTATGTAGTAGTTGTGAACTGGAGCCTTGTGATAAGATCAGACACTTGCACTGGAAGACAATAAAAGTTCTTACAGTTTACTACAGTAAACTGAATAATGCTATGTGATGGGAAAACTGGCAATCACATGGTATACGTTTCAATGATGTTCTGTTTAGTGAGGAATAAATACAAGGTTTTCTCCATGTCAATAGCAGTTTTCCAGAATAACGTACCGGACTGTGACGTTTGAAGATGTATTCTATAAGTAACTGTAATACCCAGAGGCATGGTGTTGCTTTTATTGAAATACTAAAAAAATCAAATGATTTATGACTAATAAATCAAATGATTTATTTGCAGTGGATGTATTTACAACTACAGGTTGCTTTCTTGAAATTGGGAATTTCAGTCCTGTACCCCTTTGAAGCCTGATGGTTGTTTGGCTTTTAACATCTTTGGAAATAAAAGCAGGACTTGGCGTTTTGTCGAAATTATATTAGCTTACTGTAGGGAGCTTCATAATCCTATGCCCTGAGCCAATGAATAATAGAAAAATGCAGCCAGAATGGACTTCAGATCAGCCATTTCATCTCTCCATAGAATCATGTATACTTTTGTTATTCTTCACAGATACTTGCTTTACTTAAAGACTTCCAGTGGTGGAAACCCTACAGTTTTCTTAGGTAATTAGAACGCCCTCTTTGGAGACCTCCTATTCTACTGGAATGCCAGTGACTCAGAGAGCAGCAGTAAAAGATTTAAGTTTTCCTTGCACAACATGCATTTGTGATAGAGAGTTAATGAGATCCTGTTCAAATTCACAATGGAAGAGATTCCACTTGACTTTGGTGAGAGCTAGGATGAGTCTTTTAATTGTCATGGGGAAAGAGCTGACCTGAACATCAGCAGTTCAAGCCAGCCGGAAACAAATATCTAGCATGTATGAGGTAAATGTTATATACTTTTGCTTTTGACCTTCACTCAGAAGAGGCCAAGTGCTGATCTCAGAAGGCTCTTTTCATGATGTTTTGCTTTATTTTTTTGATTTCCAACCCATATGGATTGGGCTCACTGTGACTACGTTTTAGCTTTCTTATGCTTTCTGTAGTAAGCCCTGCTTGTGACAATTCAAATTTATACCTATTTCAGCAAGAGCAAAACTTAATTTAGCTGAAGTGATAGATCAGAGTTGAAAGCAGAAACAGTTTTAGATGCAGTCTGTAGATATTAGATATGCTTTATCATAAATAGTTCTGGGTACTCAAAACCTTTTAAAAAAATTTCCCCTGAAGCACAGGTGCTGTCATAAATACAGTTTTGTAAGCAATTTCACATGTGGAATACTGCTTCCCATCTGACAACCAGGTTTAATTGGAGTCAGAGTCACGGAGTGAACAACAAAACCAAGCAACTGCCACTGCCTAGACCAAGTGATGAATAAGTAAACCAAATAGCTTACATTTCTGAAAGACACCATGCTTTTATCTGAAATATGTACACATGAAATACTTTGAGTAGAAGCTATGAGAAGCTATGAGTGAGAAGCTTTGTCTCTCTCAATATAATTTACAAATATTTTTGTCCAGTTAGTTAAACACGATACGTAGATTATGGATCATGGTGAAAAAACCTGGCAATGCGTTTGCTGCAATTAGTCTGGTAGATCATTCTTGTACTCTTAACAGCAACATGCACTAATAACGTGAAAAAGGAGTTTAGAAAAAAATAATGGTAGTGACTAATAAAGCCCTCTTCAGGTTCTCAAGGTTTCAGGACTGTATCTCACAAAAGTGTTTCGCGTTTGTTCCAAGTACTAAAATAATACCTCACTTTAGCCTGAAATTGAATTAAAAAAAAAACAAACGGTAAGATGTTGTATGTTAGACCCACTGTCCATATTGCTCACATGTGTTTGGCATGCAGAGTAGCTCTTGTTTAACAGTGTAGTTCGGACTTTTCTGTGCAGGTATGTCAAAACAAGTCATGAAGACCCAGGTTCAGTCAAGAATTTATTCTCCTAAATTTAGCTGATTTTAATCTGATTTTGCAGATTGGCATGGTTTTGCATAGAGCAACCCGGGAAATTGTTCTTATCTATAGGTCTAAATGTGGATTGAGATGCTTCATTTTAGCTATATGATGTGTACTGAGTGCTTTCCTAGCCACCTTGGCGAGGCGAAAATGTGCATCTTCAAGTGGGAAGTAAGTAGAGGCAGAGACCACTGCTGGTTCTCTTGGTTCTTGCAATTTGTTCAATATATGGGGCCTAATTTTTCAGAAGACCAGTCAGTGCATCACAGTGCAAGGAAGGCGTTCTCTATTAGATGTCAGTATGATGTGCCTTTTAGAGCTTACCTTGTCGATTCAAAGATAAACTCAAATTGTTAACTCATTTAAGAGCCTGTCATATAATGCAGCTGAGCCTTTGGCTCTGTCCGTCACACAGAGCGTGCTGTTCCTAAACACCAGTAATGCCGTTATCCCTCACAAGGCTGGAACCGGTGGCTGCACAGAGGAGCTGCAAATCCTTGTGCCTCCAGTTATAACCATGTGGTGCTGCCCCAGGGATGAGAGGTGCTCTTACCCTTTTATATGTTTGCACCTAACTGGACATCTTCCTTCGGATATCTTCTCAGATCCGCTCTTGCCGTGGCACCCAACTTAAACAGCTTTGTTTGGAGGGAACCGGGAAGATGTGTCAGTAACTTCATCTAAAATCATCAAGAGATATCATGAATAGTTTGCTATTTAATCATGTACTCATCCTTTGGGTGTCACTTTTTTCCCCTTTGTTTATATGATCTTTAAAGCATATAATCTCTCTTCCTGTGTTTTAAGTTACATATCACAAGTGGATTCTGATTCTTACTGGAGCCTTTGGTTGTTCCCACAGTGTTGATAAGCAAGGGTCTTGCAGTGGTAGCATGTATATTGAGCCGTGGTGCAGATATGAGTTTTCCAGGTTGAGGGGTTTGGTTAAATATGAACTATAGCATTGTCTAAAAGTGAAAGCTAGTGTGGTGTATGCTCTGGGGGTATGTGGACACTGACAGTCACGGGCCTGGCATCTCCTCTGTTTGTAACAGGCCTCCATATCTCCATACAGAGTTTGAGGGTTCAAATGACCTTCAGTCATGCAAGTCCGTGAGCTGTTCTCTGTGGTAATTCGCAATTGTTATTCGTAATTGTTAAGAGATCATTAACGTTGTATTGGAAATTGCACTACTGTGTGGGGTACTAGGGAGGAAAGCGGGTTTTTTTTCTCTTGCTGAAAAGCAGACTGCACGTTTATTAAGCTATCTCTTAATATTGCTTCAATTTCCTCCTCCCACTGCTGGCCCAACAGGACACTGCTTCAGCCCTTTCTAGACAAATTATAGGAGAAACAGGCACATCAGGACATGTCTCTCCCCATTCAAGGCAGTGTCATAGCCAGCACGACAAGATCATGATTTCTTTATTTGGAGACCAGTGGGACATGGCAGGAAGACCTTAAAAGCATGATGTATCATTGTTGTAACTGCGATATTCAGGCAGCGCATCCAGGCAATACCCTTCTGTGACAGCAAGGACTTTTTGTATCTGCTGCCCGGCAGCCGATCTGACACAAAAGTCTCCCTCTGGAAGTGGCAAAAGGATAGTTTTCTTTTAGTCACCAAGCAGCAGGAAATAAATCATTTCTCCTTCCTGTAGAAATGCAGTCAGGCAGTTCAGGTCTGCCGTGTGATGGGACCAATAATAAAAACTAGTCTCCGGTGTGTAAAAAAGGCTCTTGGTGAACGAGGCAATAGTGTGCCAGAAATTTTAGGCACGCTACTAAAAGCAGTTACAGAAAACATAGCTGCTTCATGTCTGGGGTAGAAGAATGACGAAAGCAACTAAAAGGGAGGAGGAAGCATCTAGAAATAAGTCTGATGAATGACAAAAATAATGTGATATTCACTGGAGCGGTGAGGTAAAGCAGGGCCTGGAAATTAAAGTTCATGTAAATGTATTTATAATGAATGACTGCTGGAGCTGTTTACTCTGACGCATGAAAATATGTCCTACCGTTTGTGATGGTCATTAATGGCATTATAACATGAAGACCTGTTGCCAGATACAAATGTCGCTGCACCAGCAGCAGCGGCCCCAGGGCTAGGGAATAAAAGGAAGGCTTTATTTACTGCGATGCAGTAAATTACCCGCTCTGCGACACTTGCCCAGAGTGCCTCACGCGTGGGGATCCCACAGCACGCTCTGGTGCGCGTACAGAGAAGACTGGTGATATCTGATCAGATGTAAGCAGTGTTTAGAAGTTGGAGGAAAACCGAAATACGAGCGTCTATGGTTGTAACCGGACGGGACAGAGGGATTCCTTTCAGGTCACAGTGATCTCATGTTTTGATGCTGCGGGTGTGCTGCCAAGGGAAATACAGAACCACGTGAGAAAGTTGCAAGTCAACTCTGGATGAACTGATAGGCAGCGCAGCCCCCCGCGCGGAGACACTGCCTGACCCCGCGGAGGCAGGGGAGTTGTGGTACTGGGGCGTCGCTGCTGGGCTCGTTTGCTGGTGCCAGCAGAGCGTTTTTTCTGGGGATTTTCACGCTACGCAGTGCTGCTCAAGGAAAACCCGCTCAGTGATGTTTGTCCCAAGACATCTGATGGACAGCCTGAGCTGGACGAGTTATTTCTGGGTGTAGCTGCTCAAACAAACAAGAACAGTAAATACAGCTGAACAGAAACCTTTTCAGGAAGGTGTGTTTTCTACCAGAAAATGCTAATTTGCCTGAAGTGATACAATTTGAAGACATGTAATGTTTTCAGAAATTCAAAAGAGAAGTTCAAAAACACTCAGTAAAATTATATAATAGAAAAGCATGAAGTGGAAAGGTTCCATTTCCAGGTTTTCCTTTTCATAGTTTTTTTTTTAATGCCTGCATTACAATATACAAACTGAAAAATGAAAACACAATGACAAATTTCTGTTTTGCAGTGAATGTATGCATAGGATAAAAAATAAACTTTAACATGCAGCACTCCCCAAAACACCAAGAGCCTGGTTCTTGCTCTGGTCTAATAATAAGCCTGATAACACTGACTTTGCTAACCATTTGTAGACAGTTAGCAAATGCACTGATAGTACAGTAAATATAATGCAGAATTCATTTTTTTTTTTTAAAGAAAATGGCTGCATACCCCCCTATTTACATTCTCAGGCAGTGCTAAGTGTGAACTACAGTGCATCCTTGACTAACAGGTGAAGAGTCAAGTCTGAAATCCTGGCAGGATAAGGGATCATCCTGCTCTTATCACAGTGGTATCCAAGTACTTTGAATCTTTCATTAAATGCATCCTGAATAGAATAGCTACATGCCTGGAGGCAGAAATGTAGTCGTGAACCTACTTAGCCTGCGCTTGTCTCTGTAACGTTCTGCACTGCTCGTAAACGGAGTCCTTTGGTACTGAGCTATGCCTGTGTGAAAGACATTACAAATAACAGTGCAAAATTTGTTTTCCCTTTTTTGAAAGTGGGCTTCTGTAAAGAAAGAAAGAAACTGAGAATGGTGCAGAACTTTTTGACGCAGGTTTTGTTTTCCATAGCAGATATGAAAGGTGTTGGCTGGGTGTTGGCATTAAGTGATAATGTGAGTCTTTTGGGAATAATCTGCAAAACGCAAGTGACACGGTTTAACCCAGTTATTAACATGGGACCTTCTCTTGCTTCCGTTTTTGCAGCCTCTCTACCTGTTCTTTATATCACTGGTACCCAGAGGAAAAATTCAGGTGTTTCTTGCGCTTTTATGGTCAGAAAAATATTAGAATATGAAGGATGCGTTATGCCTAGATACTGCTGCTCTCCTCTCTGGGCTAAACATGATTTTAGGTTCTTAGTAAATACTCAGTCAGCCAAGAAATGTAACATGAATGGGATTGAAACTATTCAGTAATTCATGTCAAAATCAGAAAGTAGTTTCAGTCCAAAAAAAAAAAAAAAAAGATTCAGAAAGTAGTTTCAGTCCAAAAAAAAAAAAAAAAAGATTATGGAAAGGAGGGGGCAGAGAAGGGAGAGTGTCAGAAAACTTGACATGTTTTATTGTGCGGTTTTGAAAATAAAGCATTTTGACATTTCCTCTAAAAATGTATTCTGAATTTTGGGGGAAAACAATTTTAAAAGGTTAAAAATGCAGCATTCGAGGAGGAGGGAAGCAGACAGCATAATTTGGTTAAATCCTGACTTCAGTTCTTCAAATAGAAAGAAAAAAAATCAATATTTTCTGGGGTTTTTTGTATGAAGGGAAGACCAGAAAATTGAGTTCCAGAAGAATCAAGACAGAACCGGGGAGACCAGCTCCTCTGTAATGATGCTGGGCTCTGTCACAAACCACTATTAATATATTTTAAACTTTCTTAATATTTGCTTGTGACGAAAGTAGTTAAAACACATATCATTTAAATAACTTTATGATATCAAGGAGCTCAAGTACGCTATTATGTAGTTTAGGTGGCAGTACTCCCTCTATTTGTGAAGCAATTGTCTATAAAAATAGAAGCGCTAAGTTGAACAGTACAGTGCGCTTTAGCTTTTGTTTTGTACTTTAACCTTTTCTAAGTTTCCAAGTAAGGCTTTAAAAAATCATTTTACGTGAACCGAATATCTGCAGTTGTGCTCCTGCGCTGGCTGGTTGGCACAAAAAGCTGACGTGGAGATCAGACAGCGATCCATCGTTTCTTGAGTTTTCTGTGGCCTTAGCTGGGTACAGTTGTATAAACGGAGCATGTTCAGTGACTGAATCCCTGGCACGTGCTCCCTGCCCTAGGTATCCGTGCTAATCCAAGTCTAAAACATCCATTCCCGTGCAGAGCTTGTGTTTTAGACGTGTTGGAAGATGGCCTGGAGATGGGAAGTATTTGCAAGGGTCTGCGGGGTTTTCCTGAGGCACTGGTGAGAGCTGCTGTTTCTCAGTTCTGTAAGTGCACTGTATTCCTGGGAAGCCGTGGTGGCTTCTGCATCATAGGAAAGCAGGGACAAATCCCAGATATATTGGCCAGTTCAAGCCATGTGTGAGGCACGTTTTCATCTCAGGTAACAGTGTCTGGTCACTATTGTAAGTTTCATGAAATGGTGTGATTTTCTTTACCTTCATATATTATATGTGAATTTGAGCTAGATATGACCTCTACTCTTAGTTTCTGTATATAGATTATGTGCTATTCCACGAAACTGATTCTCTCCCTTCTTGGAAGAGCAGAGTATGCTGAAGGCAGTGAGATGTGAGTTTTGGAGTATGTCATTGTGGAGGCCACGTTTATTCTGAGACTGTTTTTCCTTCTAGGCTGTTGGCTGTGATTATGAGATAAATTCCAATGCAACTGAAGACCAGTGTGGAGTTTGCCTGGGAGATGGCTCTGCTTGTCATACAGTGAAGAGGATGTTTAATCAAAGTGAAGGATTTGGTAAAAAAAAAAAAAAAAAAAAAAAAAAAAAAAAAAAAAAGAGTTCTTTTTTAAAATTCTTCCATTGCTGAAATCATTTCTCTACATAAAAAGGCTCGAGAAGCACTCTCATTGCGAACTGAGTGACTGTACGGTCCGTGTAGCAAGTATGGATGCTTCACAGAGAATCGTGCTTGAGCCAGAAAAGATTAGCTCACCTTGTCTAATAAAAATGTTGTTAGAGTCCAACAGGTCCCTACTCAAGTTATGCAGATAATAAAACTCAAAATAGCAAGTGCATTTACAAAATTAATGTAATTAAGCACCGAGGAAAGAACTGGACCAAATCTGTAGGCAGTGTAAGCTTCAAGATGCTGGGAGTGAGTGGCTTGGGGATTCATTTCTAGGTGTCATACCTGTCTGATACCAGTGGCTCCAGTGACTATTTACTACAGGGTCACTTCCCCATTCCATTTCTCTGGGGTAGAAGAGGAGAAAAGTGAACTCCCTGCAGGGTTAATGTGATCTGTATCAGCACTAGGAGATCTGAGTCTTTCCCTGCTGACGGCAGCAAGCCACTTAGGCTTTAAGGTGCCTAGTATGGGATGTAGCCGAGTACAGAGACTAGAACGGTGCACTCACTGGAAACTAAAACTGGATGAGAGCATGACAGGGAGTTGGAGATGGAAGAGACAGCTGGGATGAGCGGTTCTGAGTGGGGAGCCTGGGCAGAAGGTAAGAGGTGAGGCTCGGGGCTCCGGAGAGCCTGCTCGGAGCGAGGTCTGGCTGGAGGCAGAGACTGGCAGGCAGATGAGAAGCCTCAAGTGCAGTGACTGGTACCATGTTAGTGAGGTGGGAGGATTGCTGTGAGGATATGGCTTTTGGGTTTCATTTTTTTTAATGAAAGAATTCTGATTTGCGCAAATATGGTATGTAATAATAAATTAGAACTGGTTTGATAATCGGATTTTCCAAAGTTTGGAGGGAAAACACTTTTAATAGTTCTTCTTTCTTCTGTACTGCAAACATGAGTTTGCTTTTTTTCTTTTTGTTTTATTTTTATTGTACCTGTATCTCACAGGTGAACTCTGAGGACACCTACAACCATGCAGTAGTGCAGGCTGTAGATGTATGTGGGCCTTACAAAGAAAAACCTACCTTGGAGCTCCCTCTCCCCCAGTAATCCCCTACCCCCTGATCTTTTACTCCTGCTAGCCTAAAACTCACTCTGCCTATGGTTGTGTTTAGGTTTTCCAAGGGTGTAGACGATCTGAAGTTTATTCTCAAAGAACAGTATTTCTAAAAGGGTCCAGGCTAACTGAATCAGTTATACATGGGAGGATAAAATGACATCTCTTATTTTATTTAAGTTTATACTGTATTGTATGTTTGCTTAGTTTTGCCTTGCCTCAGGGTTCCATAAGCCTCGCTGACAGAAACCTCTGAGGGACTTGGAGCATTAAGTGAAATTATTTCATCGCTGCATTTAGATTCAATAAAAAATGGACTGCTTCTGCAGATCCTCTTACTCCTGCAAAAATTGACTCCGTTGCAGAAGAAAGTAGGAAAAGTGTCAGGAAAGGCGGGGGCCTGCGGGCTGTTAAGCTTTTGAGAGTATGTGTGGTCTGCGCTCATGTTCCATAGGCAGTAAATTGGGAATAGGAAAATGGTTTTTTGTTCAAACTGTCCGGCTCCTTTTTGTCTCTGACTGACAAGTACTGTGAAGTTCTGTCTTGCAATACAAATTTATGGCAGAATGGCTAGTAAATGGTTTATGTAAACAGAAAGACTTCAGGCTCGTGAACTTGGCACAGTTAACAAAACTGGACCAGAGCTGGACAAGGTACATGCTGCCACTCGCTGGGAAAAAATTTTGGAGAGGTTTTTCCTGTGTTTATTGGCACAGAGAAAGACAAAAGCAAAGCTAGTATACTATGATCTAAAGCTATCTTCACAACCTAAGCGCCCAGCAGGGCCTTTCTTGGTTCTGGTGCTGTAGCAGCCTCTATGCTGTCTGTAAATCAACCAGTTATCAGATCAGACTAATAAAATATTAAGCTTTAAGAATTCAGCTTTTCACAGCAGGGCAGGCAAATCGGTTTTACTTAAGGCTTTACCTGCTCATGTTCAAAAAGAAAAGCTTTAAAATCTGTGTGGTTACTAGAGTTTCCTTAAAAATGCTTTGGCTTTCCTGTGGATGCAGAATGGGAGCAATGGTCCAGGGGCTCCCAACACAGCTGTAGGAGAGAATATTTCATCTGTGCAATGGATTCTGTTAGTATTTTATGGTGGAAATGAAATCAGATTTGCACAGATGGTCTCAACTATTGACACTAACGCTAGCCGAGTACCCAGTCTGCCCTTCCTTCTCAGGAGCTTCATTTGAAAATCATTTAAGTCACTTCAGCTGCTTATGGCCATCAAGATTGCAATGTGGGCGGGACAGTGAAAAGCAGGGTGTAGGCCTGGGCAAAGAAGTCATGGGCTCTCCTGTGATTAATGTAGAAGAAGTCTGCTTTTATTTTAAGGTAGAATATTTAAAAGAGAGGGAAATCCCTATTTGTATTTGCATTGTTGTGATGACTACAGGGGAGTATTATCTGAGTGCAGCTGAGCAGTCACAAGGCATGCCAACTATGCTGGCAGGATAGTAAAGTGTCCTGCTGGGTGGGGAGAAGCACTGGGGTAGAAGAGGGACTGAGGTGGAAGGGACAGGTGGTTTGACACCATGGCAAGTGAACAAGGTGTGGAGTAAGTTGATAACATGAAAGGGGAACAAGACTGCGGGGCTCAGACAAAAGAGACTGCCTGGAAGGTGGAAGAGGAGTGACTAGGATAAGAAGGATGGTGGTCAGGAGGGCAGGAAACTGAGAGGGTGCTACATCACTCTTCTATATATGGAAGGGGAAATGAATTTCTCAGCTTTAGGTAGCAGGGCAACAACACATTTACAGCTCTGGAAACGAGGGATTGAACATAGGAGTGCAGGTATAATTACTGCAAGTCAGAAAGCAAAATTAGGTGGCTGTCACTCCTTTGAGAAGCTGAATTTTAGTAAAGCGATGGAGAAATGAGGAACGGTGGCTGCACTCAGGCTAACCTGGAGGTTTATCCTGCAACCCTAACCTCCTGAGCAACCTGATCAGGACTGAATCAAAGCACGGCATGGTACACTTACCCACGTTTTCCGCTTCATGTAAACCAAAGTGCAGGCAGAGGTGTTCTTTGTGCCTGAGACTAGTCCTGAAATGGAGCCTGGACATAGCCATGATGCAAATACGGATCCCAGAATCTGGAAGCTCTCTTGGATCCTCACTTTAGAGAGTGTCTCTGGGCTGTAGTTTTTTCCCATTACCATCACACACTGCAGTATTCCCTGCAGTATTTGATGGAAAGGCTGAATGCAACCATGCCTTGACTTGCAAACCCAATATCCCACTGGGAGCCTGTGCTGTTTTCCGTGCCAGTATTCACGCGGTAGTACCTACAGCCTGCTGATCAAGCCGTGTGAAATACAGGGGGAAATCAAGCCTCAGAGAAGTTGTATTTCGTAACACCTAGAAGCTCGCAGATAAGGCAAACTGGAGAGTAGTGTAGGAGCTGATGTGATAAGGAGAAACAGCTGGATCTAATTATCATCTGATCTGCAATAGTGTGCTAACCACCTCTGTGGGATTACTCCTGTCTCCCAGCAGTGGGAAAAGAGAAGCAAGTCCTTCAATCCCAATGGAATTGTAACTAAACAGGAGTTGCTTGCATTTATTCTTCATATTGCATTCTCATTGGTGATTAGGAGCGTATAGGAATTAGTGTGAGATTCTGGGAAACCAGGAGATAATCTAGTTAGTCAAAAAAAAGGGGGGAATATGATGCACAGACCACATGGAAAAATCTTACCACCAGGCATTTGAAATGCATTTAAAATCAGCTTTATGAGCAACAGGAAGTGATTCAGACAAAAATAATTATGCAAAAACTTGAGAGGACACAGACTTTTATGTTCTAACAGAAAGAAAATTATATTTCATTGTTGCTATACTTGTGATTTGAACAAAATGTTATTCTAATTACATCCAAAAAACTACTGGAAGAGGGCACCAATGTTACAAAGCCAAGCTCTCGGGAAGAGACACTATTGAAATTTTCTATGCTGTCTTAATTTGACCCATTTGTGAGCATGCCTTCTAATCAAATCTTTACTTACATTATCACGCACTGTGTTTGATAGATCTCCACTGCACTGAAAGAGTATAATTTTTGGGAGAGTCATTGGACCTTGTCTCTGGTTTCTTACAATAGAAGTTATTCAGTAATATTACAGATTTTGTTAGGCCCCTTACTTACGAAAGACTTAAAAGTTTGAATCTCCACGGTCAAAGTAGGAAGCTTGCAAAAGATGGCATCCAGAAAACTCTCTCTATTGAACGTTATTCACAGGAAAAATATATGGAATTTCATTATGAGGGGTGGAGGTAGATCCTTTTTTGTAACATAAGCAATATATGACATCGGAAACAGTATTTATCGCTTCACAAAGGAGCTGCAAGAAAAATTTGGATGTAAAAGGCTACGGAGATACTGCTGTTTACTGCAGTGAATTACTGTACTGCTTATAGATATTTCTCATAGGCTCCTGAAGATAGTGAAGATGAGTTAATATGCCCAGCGCGGTTTGTCTGACTCACATGAGTGAGTAGTCAAAGGTGATAAGCCGATTTAGACTAGGAAGGTGAACAGGATGTAGTTCTTAGGATTTAATTTGTAACCTCAGCCATGTATGGTAAGGAACCATGTTCACACTCAGTAGCCAGTCTTGAAATAAACCACTGTGAACTTCAGCTTGCGCTCCAGAGCTCCTGCTCATAGAGCTGTCATCCATCCAATGGATCTAAAGCCCAGCCAGGAGCAATAGCAAGAAAGCTATTTTAGTTCCTCGTAAAATTTGTATGTAAACGTCCTGTTTTTACAGTTTTCATTCAGTAGCAATAGCAGTTCCCTGTAAGGTGAGAAACACTGAGCTTCACGTCACGTTGTCTGTGACACAAACAAAACTGTGATAAATGCTCTGGTTTCGTTCTTGACACACATACCAATAATCTCATCTCCTTTTAGAGACAGCTTTGTAAATGAAGAGCTGCTGAACTTCCGTATGAAACTCAGTAGTTTATATAATCTGTTCAACTATTCTTAGTAAAATGAGGCATTTGAATGGCTTTGAGTTTGCAGTAGCAAGTCTATAGATGGGAAACAGGCAGGGAGAAGTTAAATGACTTAAGAGAAGGGATATGAAGTTACAAGTAAGTAAGTAACCTGCAATGCCTTTTTTTTTGTTCATTTCCATGAACTTTTATTATCTCATAGGATACGTTGACATTGGGCTAATTCCAAAAGGCGCAAGGGGTATCAGAGTCACCGAAGTGGCAGAAGCAGGAAACTTCCTTGCTGTGCGGAGTGAAGACCCAGAAAAATATTACCTGAATGGAGGTTTTATCATCCAGTGGAATGGTGAATACAAAGTGGCAGGAACGGTATTCCAGTATGACAGAACAGGTGATCTGGAAAATCTGACTGCTCCTGGACCCACCAATGAATCAGTATGGATACAGGTAAATAGGAGACCACTAGCAGAACTTGCTGAGTTTAGGTGGTAGCAGAATGCGAATGAGGCTGGAAAAATACATGTATTTTGTTATAAGCCATGCTATTAGCAGTCTCGCAAAAATCAGTTGATATATTTTTGGGAGAAGGAGATCTCTTGCTTGAGAGGGCAGTTCACCCTACCTCAAAATCACTGTTAGGTGTCATGGTTTCATGATTATTAAAAACTAGTATAATCGACTGCAGTCCCATGGAGTAGTGAGTTTATGCCTCTGGTTGGTCAGTCCTTTGCCCAAGCTTCCCTGTCCCATGTGCCAGCCTAGACCAGCACGCGTGGCTGTGATGTGCACCGCACCCAGGTGAAAAGTAACCCTTTATCACGCAGAAGGAGCCGATGTCAACCAGCAGTGGCAGCTAGGGAAGGGTGGTAATAGCGTCAGCTTATGCTGAGCATGAAATACAGCAGATAGCTTATGGTAAGTGAAATGGATCCACTTAACATCTACCGAGTAACATTACTCGTCCCCTTTTTTTTTTAACGTTGCTTTATCAGTTTTAACTTAAATGTAACTAGCTTCTGTAAATTTTGCAAAAATGTTTTTAAATTGCCCTTTTGTTCCCTGAATGAATTTTTCCTGGTTTGTGTCCCTGGGTAGCCAGTGAGCACATAAAATCATAATTAAAGGTGTGAAGGAGGAGGCCGCTCTTGCACCTTGAATGTCTGGAGAGAAGGGTGTGCTTCTCCTTCACTGTCAGGAAAAAGGTAAAGGAAATAGAAGGAACAGTAGAAGTTCATTGCTTCACTGTTTTATCCCTTGAAGATGTTCTCCTTTCCTCTCTCGCGTCGGCCAGTGATAAATTTCTTGAGTGGCTCTCCTCAATTAGAGTTTTCCTTCTGAATGACAGACACACTGAAAAAATAATACTGAAGCAGTATCTGAATAAAGTCTTTTATTTGCTGACCTGCTGGATATTTTATAGCAGCTATTTCATGTGGGTAGGGAAATCACATTTGCAGTGAGGATAGGCAATAGCCCTTAATCAAGGGCACTTCTGGCAGTCTTGTATGGACTTTGCATTATCTTTTCTTACAGTCAGTAGGATACCAATTATGCTGACCCACTTCTTCCCAGCTGCGTTTGCAGAATTGCTTGGCAAACAACTGTGCCTTAGAGAGAGAGGCATTTGCGCCACTGCCAGCGCACAAACGAAAGGTTTGCCAGTCTTCATTCCTGAACTGGTAGCAGGCTCCAGAATGGGAGAGCTGCCTTAGAGGTTGCTAATTCTTCTGCTTTCACGCTTTAAGAGCTTTGGACTAGGAAATTATTATAAGTAATTAAAAAAACCATACTTTTTTCCAGCTGCTTTTTCAAGAGACTAATCCTGGGATAATGTATGAATATACTGTACGTAAAGAAGAAAATCATGAGAATGAGATTGGAGAGCCAGAGTATTTTTGGCAGTATGGAGACTGGACACCCTGCAGTGTTACATGTGGAAGGGGTAATTCCTCACTTCTTTTTTTCTATTACTGTTTGTCTTCGTTACTGGCAAGTTTCATCTTTGCTTTCAATTATCCTGGCAGCATTCTGTTTCTCAAAGAGGTGAGGTTTTTTAATCTGCGTTCTGTGGGAAAGCAGATCAGGTGGTTATAATAACTTTTTTTTTTTTTTTTTAAGTCCAAATACGTTATTTTAATGGTTTAAGGCAAATACATTTCTGTAACGTTTGCTGCGAAATTAAAAACTTCGATGAACCAAAATGAAAAACTGGTTTTCTTTTCTTTATAATTTGTTGCTAGTATTGTTTGCACTAATCCTCTTCCCAGGAACACTTAATTTACAACCTGCTTTTTTTTCTCTACTTAGTCTTTCCAACATGTTAACTACCAAAAATAATCTTCATTTCTGTATCACCTTAATAAGCCACAGTGCCTTTTGTGCATTTCTCAATCAATAGATGATTTAAATCAATCTCGAGTGTTTGTACATCTTTCCACCCTCAACACAATGGCTTGCGAACACTTTTACTTGTATCATAGTTCCATGCAGCATGTTAAACCAGACAAGTAGAATGACAACTTGGAAGAGATCCAAAACCAGGACTTTTTTAGAAGTTTGGTTAGTTTTTGGAAGTTTGCCTTTGGTAACACACACCAAAAACATTAACGGGGCAACTTTTTAACATAACAGATCAATGAGATTAACTTAATGCTAGCAGTAAGCCAACATGCTAATGAGAAAAGGCCTGAAGGCTTTTTTTGCATAAGCAAAGATTTTAAAACTATCCTTTGTAGGAATGTTTTTTTTAAAGAAAAGAAAAATGTTGTGTGTGGAAGGAAGTCTGCGTGGGGGGGCAGGAAACTGCAGCCTTCTGTGATTTATTGGATTGGATCCTGATGTTGTTTGTGGTCTGAGTTGGTTACTGAGTTTGACTGGACAAGAGAAAAGACCTGGAGATGAGATGGGAACCTTGTTCGTTGAGACATGTATGTGCAAGTTATGCAGAGCAGTAGAGTATCTGTGTTACAGCCAGGGGACAAATGACATGAAATAGGACTTTTTTCTTTCTAATGCTTGGGTTTTATAAGTGTTTTTTTGATAATTATTACTTTCTTTAACTGCTTTCCAGAAGGAAAGAAAATCTGCTTTCCAGATTGTGACAAACCAAGTTGAGAGGGAACTCTAGAATATTGTAGTAGTAATGGTTACATAAGTAACAATTTTAAAGCCTTCCTATCAGGGAAGACACTGTAAGAATGTATTTTCAGTGGTTTGATCAAAGGGCATTGTATGGTCTTAACTTTAAAAGATTAAAATAATAATTTTAGAAGAACGGAGTAAATTACCCCACCCCAATTACATATTCCTAAATTAAACATACGTGTGTGTGTGTATATATATATATATGTGTGTGTGTGTGTATGTATATAAATATATATGTATTTTCTGAAGAAAAATTTCAGCACAAAGTGCTGTATGCTTCCTGGTTAGCAGAAAAAAATCCATCTTTAAATACATTACCAAAACAAGTCTTTTGCTTAATGGTACATTATAAGTTTAGCTCTGTTACCTTGTGGTAGATAATGTTTAATTTAACGACGGGCATGACAACAAAAAGAGAAAAAAAGTGTTATTAGACTGCTTATTTTGTTTTCTTTGACGTTAGCTGCACTTTTCCTAAAAGTGTTTCTCACTAAGAAATTACAGTTCTGTATACTACCTTCTGGCTAAAGAACTGTGACTTGGCTTTGATTTCTAACTGCCGCCTGGATTACTTATATAGAAGGCTGCTGGATATATTTTATTTTTCAATTTTTATTTAATAAATGACTTCCTCCATTTACCATCTTTGGTCTCTTAATCAGCATGTCTTGTGCTCATGGGCTTGTTCTTTATATCCGTACAAATGACACGTTTCAAGCCAGACTGTGGAGTTCTTTGCATGACTGTGCAGGGGAGCCAAGAGAGGCATCACGGTTCCAAGTACAAGAGCACAGAAACCTCCTCAGGTCTCCGTATGCCTTCACGGGCACGAGGCAGGGGACGGACAGGCACTTGGCTCTTTTTCTCCTTAAACACGTACATTTACAAAAGTAACCATACAGGATGTAATCTTCTGCTAAGAAATACAGAAGGCCATTTTTGTCACTTACTTCCTGCCCAGAAAAAAGGGAAACAGTAGTGCAGAGCTTCATGCGTTGAAGCCCCTTGAACCAGGGGTGCTCTAATGTCACACAGCTTTATGCAGGCCCCCGATGCCTGTTCTGGCTTGCTCCAGGCTGTCTGAGTGTGGATCAGATGTGCTGCTCGGCACTGAACGTGAGCTGGCCAGCCCCTACCAAGCCCCACACCGGTGTTGCAATGCAGCTGGCTTCCGGCTGGGTGCGCAGAGCACAGGCATCAGCAGGATACCCTGGAGCCCTGCTGCCTAGAAAGCAGGGAGCAGCAGCAGAGAAGGTGAATTTGGGAAATGCCAGCCCTCCATGAGCACAGAAACTTGGAAACTCTAAAGCCTTGCTACGTTTAGCAAAGAACCGGCGTCATAGTAGCTGCCGACCTAGAACCGGGACGTCCCAGGCAGTTGCAGGTTACTGTGGTTTGATCCCTCCGGAGTTCAGTTCAGGACCAGGAGGCAGAACAAAGGCAGAACTGACTGTTCCCAAGCGGCATTAAGAGCTCTCCCACTTCCGCAGAACTTCCTTCTTGGTTTAAATAATGAGACTGATTTTATCTGAACATACAGTCTCCTTTAGGTTGAGAATTTAATGCTATTGACTGTAACAGACCTGTTGGGCCAAATCGCAGGCATTTGAAGATTTTTGAAAGGTCTCTAAGATAAAGTGTACTGAGGCTGGCAAGGAGATTATCTTCTCCTATCAGTGTGCCGCACACCAAGTCTTACTGAAAGCAAGCCCAGAATAGGGGTCAAGGAGTTAAGAAAAGTTGCATTTGTTTGGACGAAATGTGGTAGTAAAATAACCTTCAAGGACTTGAAGTTTTCTGTTCTAGACCAACTACCCAATATAATGGTCCATCAGAAATTACAAGCGTAAATCCTTCATTCTTGTCTAAAGCCTATAATAATGTTTTTTGGAACTAGAAGAGTGGCATTGAACATAACAATAAGCATAACAGCGCAGCTGCAGCTAAGAGAGAATTTTAAGTAGCTTGCAAAAATTTATTTTTCCATAGATAAGACCAGTAACTGGCAAATTTTCAAAGCTTTGCAAAGGAGTTAGTGAGAAGATTTGTTTGGGGGTTAATTGGTATGTGCCCTTTAAATCCTTCACAGCACTTACCAGGGCTATTTTACAAAATTACCTCCAGGTGTTTCTGAACTGAAGTTCAGTCTGAAACTTGTAGTTTTGGTTTTAAAAAATAAAGGTCAGTGTGTTTTCCTTCTAGATTATGGATCTAAGCTTTAAAATAGCAAGAATGTCAAGGCTGGCTCTTGTATTGCATATGTAACTTGTGCATGCAGCGAATATAATTTGTTCATGAAAATACCAAGGTGATATTCTTACAAAGTGGCTGATGTGATGCACGACTGTGACAGCTGCATGTTAAAATTAGGTGTACGATCAAACATGCTCTTTTGCATACACATTTTGTACATCTGCTTTTGGAAGTGCAGAACCTTCAGCTGTTTTGTTCTCAGCTCTAATTTTGCCAAAGTAGAGAGCTGTTCTGCCCACAGATTTCTAATCTGAACTCTTTAAACTGGCCCCTTTTTTTTTTTTTTTTTTTTTTTTTTTTGCAAACTAAACGAGAAATCAGAAGCTGAGCTTGTCAAATGTCTATCTCCCATGTAAAAAGTCTTTTTGCATTAGAGTCCAAATGGCACAGAGAGGAAGAAGGGGACCCTGAGTGCATGTAGAGGAATCAAGACCGTTCTTGGATCTGAGTGTTTTCATTTTTGGTTTATGGATTTTTTTTTTTCCCAGAAATTCTTGTAGTATACTTTGTTTTCACAGCGCCTAGATGGTGTACTTCTGTGCCAGGATACGCTGGGGTAGGAAGGGCTGCCACAGCCAACTGTCTGTATTGCACTCGCGAGTGAGGGTCCCACGGGCAGGGAGGCTGTGATGGCTGGCAGTACCTATGTCGCAGCGAGCGCTGCGGTCAGCAGGAGGGAACGGGCACGTTCCCATGCCAGGAGACAGAGCAAGATGTTTGCAGTGGGCTTCGGCGCACAGGGCAAGGTCCAGCTGAAGACAACCAGCGCCTTCGTGCGTGCCCGCTGCAGACCGTTGTCCGTGTGGGCTAGTTAGCATGAGGTCAGAGAGAAACAGCGAAGGTGAAGTGAAGGAACGAGCACGTCTTCCAGGGCCGTGTAGAAAGAGAGTTAAAAGCTCAGTAAAATCGAGATCCTTGAGCATATTTAGAATTTTTAATCTGTGACTTAAGTAGGATTTTATGTACTATTGAATCTATAAGCATGTGAAGGTTTGATAGAGTATGGTCAATGTGAAATGAATAGTTTCCTACTTTTGTTTTCTGGTTCGACGAGCTCAAGATTAGAAACCCAGCTGTATTTCATTACTCCTTTATGAACGTACTTATATCAGTATACGCATGTATAAATATATATATGTGCGTATGGGATTCCTTCCAACTTTTGAAGTGAGCTGCACGTAGTCACGGTGGGAAAAAAAGTACGCGTTTATTGATTCTAAGATTTACACCCATGCCTCAACTTTACAGATTTTGAAATTACGGTGTGAATTCACTTAACGTCCGTAACATTTGTATGACCAAAGAGCTGAATAAATTAGCTTATTGTTGCTGGTGATCAGCAAATGTTTTATGAGAACGTGCTGCCTCTAAACAAGACTTCTGCAAGGGTTAATGGCGGTTTTAAAGTGAGTTGCAGCAGCTGAAATGATGCTCAACAAATTTATCAGAGTGAAAGAATTCTTGCCTGGCTTATTTGCATTTGTAACGGCAGCATATTATGATTTTTGAAAGGGACAGAAACACATCTCTATGAACTTCCTTGTTTACATCTAGCCGGACGATTGCTTGCTCTTCCAGTCAGGTTTTCAAAGCGCGAAGCGGAGGCTG